ACGTCGAGAATACTTGAGCATTTTTCAGGCCTGTTACTGCTTTATTCGCAAGCGCTACAAGAGACATTCTCGCCTATGGCCCCAAGTGCGTCGTGAACTTTTCTGGGCCAGGTCGTTGCTTCCACTACTGCAGCGTGACCTTTCAGCGCCTTGGAGCAAAGAAGTCTACGCCACAGATGCCTCAACCTGGGGCCGCGGCGTGGCCGTGAGCACCCATGAGATCCAGTCTGTTCGTGAAGTAGGACGCGTGTGTGATCGCTAAAGGTTCAGTCGAGAGCAAGAGGCGGCGACTTTGGCCCCTGAGAAGCTCGGTGCAGGCTCGTGTTTGGATATTCTGGAACTGGAGACCTTTCACGCCCAATGTCCCACAATCCCTGTACCTGAGATACCGCTATCTTTCTTGGATTGTGAGTGGAAAAAGGTTAGCAGTGGGCAGTGGCAGCGCCAGGAGCCCATCGCCATTCTTGAAGGGCGAGCAATTGTCTGGACCCTGCAGCATCTCGCGAGAGCTCAGAGAAACCACGGAGCACGACATGTTGTCCTGAGCGATAGCATGACGTCGGTGTTGGCCCTGAGCAAAGGCCGCAGCTCCAGCAAGGGGATGAACCGCATCTGTAGACAAGCCTGCGCTTTAAGTTTAAGTTGTGGGTTCCAGCCCTACTTCCGCTGGATAGCTTCAGAACTAAACCCTGCAGACGCTGCTTCTCGAAACAAAGCATGGGTGCCTTTTGATCCTAAGGCTGGTGCGCAAGAGCTGCGGAGCAATCATGCTGCCTCGCAAAGGGGACACCAAGGATGGCGCACACAAGCCGTCGCCTTCTACTTTCCGCGCGGCGCAGCAGGAGCCGATGCCAGTGCTCACAACGAAGCAGATCAAGGAGCAGAAGGCTACCAACCGCAAGCGGAAGCACGCAGACAGCACCCCGCTGGCACAGTCAAAGGTGCAGGAGCCCTGCTTCCTGGAGCGGCAGGCGGTGACCCCGAGGCGAGAACAGTCGTATGCTCGGGCTTGGGCAGACTTCCTGCAGTTCGTGAAGACACACCGCTTGAAAATAGCCACGCTGTCGGACCTCGATGCAGCAGTGGCTTGGGCCGTAAACGAGCAGTTCTTCGAGGGCGACAGCTTGGCTACTCCCCAGACCTTGCTGGCCGCAGTCAAGTACCATCGTCGAGATGTGGCAAAGGTGGCTGTCCTGACTCGAGCCAGTCAAGCGCTTCGTGGGTTCCGGCGTCTGGCGCCCTCGCAAGCTCGGACTCCACTTCCTTACCCGATGCTGGCTTTCATGATAATCCAAGCAGTTCTGGCCGGGGAGTACTGGGTGGCCTTTTGGATGGCGCTGACATGGGCAGTCAGTTGCCGACCGGGAGAAACCTTGAAGCTTGCTGTGAAGCACATAGTGAGCCCCAACAAGCTTTGTCGTCACTACAGCCTGCTGTTGTCTCCGTCCGGGCCCATGGACCTGTGTTTACCCTCGAAAACAGGCGACATGGACGAGAATCTCTTGATCGACCAACCATACCTGCAGTGGGTTGGACAGATCCTGGGTCGGATGAAGAGCCGCATGCAGGCAGATCAGCCTTTGTTCCTCTTCGACGTGGCGCACGCAGGGCAGGTGTTCAAAAACATCGCCGTCGCTGCTGGCTATCAGCCTCTTGGAGTGGTGCACTCATACCAGATCCGCCACGGTGCAGCCAGCACGGACGCCCTCACGGGCCTACGCACCATGGAAGAAATCGCCAAGAGGGGTCGATGGCGCTGCCTTTCAAGTGTGCGCAGGTACGAGCAGGGCGGCAAGCTGGCGCAGATTTTTGGACAGCTTTCCGAGGTGCAGCAAAGCGAGGCGCTTCGGGCCGAAAAGCAGGTGGGGCATGTCATGACGAGCCGGTTCAGCGAGTTCTTTCCGCCGAGCCGCTCTTTGTCCTAGAACTGTTTGCCGGTGAAGCTTCCTTGAGTCGCGCCTTGCAGCGCATGCTTGGCTCCGCCTTTCAGATTGTGCCTATTGACATACGCTTCGGTAGAGCGCATGACCTGTCAAAAGGCCCCTTGCAAAGGTTCATCTTGCAACTCATCTCTTCTGACCGGATTGCGGCAGTGTGGTTTGGCCGTTCGGGTTGTGGTGATTGCGCTCCGTTGCAGCGCGCAGCGCTGGACCAAGGCCTCGCGTGCTTGCCTGGCTCAGGAGCGGTTCTGCGGCAAAGCACTCCGTTGGCCACCAAGCTCATTCATTTCACCGTGCGAGTCTTTAGAACATGCATGCGCAAAGGCATTCCTGTGGTTTTAGCGAGCCCACATACTGCGCATTTGTGGCAAGTCCCATGTGTGCGTCGTTTGTGCCGCCAGCTGCAGGTTCACCAGCACTGCACAGACTACTGCCAGGACGGAAGCTCACGGCGCCAGCGCACCAGGTTGCTTGCAAGCCATGTTTCGTTGCACGCAGTGGTCAGACATTGTACGGGCCGGCAGGGCGTTTGCAGCCGCAGTCGCAAGCCTCATGCTCGCCTGCTCGCCCATGAACCAGCTACGCATGTCAGGCAGGCCCGTTCGTATCCATCAGGCTTGTGTCGACGTCTCAGTACTGCTCTGGTGAATGGCATTTATGAACGTTTCAGTCGGCCTCTGGCCGTCCTTTTCGGACTGCAGTGAGGGCCAGGCACTGAATTGGACTTGTGCGCCAATGTTATGGAGAGGAAGCCCAGGGCTCTGCCTAGCTTTATGCCTCTGGACGACTTCTTGTCCCCAGCGGCTCCGCTGTGCATCCCAGAGGCTTCCAGTTTCCTGTAGTGCGCACTTGGACATAGAGCTGTGCCTGGCCACGGAAACAGAGTGTCTCAATTACATGTGCAATTGCTGGCCTTGATGTTGGCATACTGGAATGAAGACTTTGGGTTGCGCAGACCGATCCGATACGTCGAACGTAGCATGTGAGCGAATTGTACGATCAGGGAGTTTCTGCAAGACTCGTCATGCGGAGTTGACAAATGGTGCGCCCAAGACGTAAGTCAAAGCTTGTCAAGACGACGTAGGCACTAGAAGGGATCGTATTGGCAATGGTTTAGGCTCCTGTAGCCTGATAAGCCCTTATTTGGAAGGCTCAGGGAAATCGGCACCCTTGGCACTGAAATCCGTCCCTTCCTACCAAGTGCTACAGTGGTAACAAGCCTTGGAAGCCCTACACAACCTACAGTTCTCATATGTTCCCAGAAGCCCTAGGCTTTACATGCTGAGACTCCCCAAGCCTCTTGGCCTCAATAAAATCCCTACAAGTAGGCCCCAAACTGCGACATTCCTTGCCTACAGAGGTGGCCCACCGAGAAAGATTCTGCTCGAAAGCCTGGCCGGGTGCGTATGGATTGCTGACACGGTCACATCCTGTGAGTACGTGGATGTGCGTCGTGCCAGAGTCTGACAGTAAAGAGTTCTGGACGTGGAAAGACCGGGGTTTTTTCCATGACTGTACACAGATTGTTCAGTCTGTTCTCGGAAGCTTCTCGCCTTCTTCACGTTGTTTGTTCCTTGATGTCGGTGCCAACATGGGCTGCATTGGGCTCAGCCTCGCGCAGCAGAATTTCAATGTGATTGCGTTGGAACCAGCAAAGCAGTCGGCCTCGCTGATTCGAGGAGCTGTCGCCAAAAACAGGCTTGAAACGCGAATGAGGGTCGTGGAGGCGGCGGCCGGAGCTGTCTCAGGCTCGTCGGTGTTACGTTGTCCAACGCATCCACAGAACACCCTTGGCGAGTGTACTCTTGGCGTCCTGGACAAGAACTTCATTTTCGAGTACACTGAGAAGGAGGTGGTCCAGGTCGCGTTGAATGACCTGGTAAAGAACATCGTGCAGAAAGGGAAGAAGGTTTGTGGAATTAAAATGGATGTGGAGGGCAATGAGGAGGAAGCCTTGCGGGGAGCTGGCGCAGTCTTGTCACTGAGGCCCACCATGTACATCGATATTCACGACGTAATGTTGCGCCAACGGGGCAGAAGTGCCGCTGGCGTCTGGGATGTACTGAGCAGTTTTGGGTATCGTCGCCTTGTGGACTATTCGAACGTCGACTGCTGGATGGTTGGTGGTGGGCGATGGATGGACTTTCGTTGGCAAGGAGGATCAGAACTGGACCCGCTGTTGACGTTGACAGTTCCACCCGGAGCAGATCGTTGCTTCTGCCTTCATGCATGTGCGGCACGAATGTCTGAGGGCTGCCGCTGCTGGGAAGTCGGCCGAGCCAATCAAAGCAAGGGATCACCCGCGCGCCTTGGCACCGCCGACAGTTGCGCAGTCGTGCACGTTTTGTTTGTCACTTGCTTGTCTGTAGCAGCGCATGTTGTGGTAAGTACAGAGACAGAAGGACAGGTGAAGTTCCAGAGAGCACGATGGATAGTGTGAAAGAAAGTTATCAAGCCCTGAGCAAGACCACTTGCCCGACTTGTCAGCTAAGGCTTTGCCACTCCACTCGGGTTCGAGCTTGTGAGACCAAGCTTTGCCACTTGTACCGACGCTGCCCGGTTGGATGGTCGGAAGATCGAGCGTACGGCCTTCGACCGGCGCGTGGCTGGTGGGCAAGTGATTTGTTCGGTAGGTGGATTGTCACGTAGGGATGCGTAGGGCAAAGAGTTCTCGACCCGAAAAGCCGGAAAGTCCGATGCTTGGTGGTCAGGACTTGCCGGGTTAGTTTCCAGTTGCTGGATGCTCAAACTTGATGCCATGCTTGTGTCTTCTTCCGTGGATTCTTGACATTGGGGTCTGCAGACCATGAAGCTGGAGGTTCCTTTTCGAAAGACTTGGTATCAGAATCTTAGATTTGATTCTGAGGGACTCATAGTGTTAAGTTTGTTCTACAAGCCGTTCTTCTAAGCGGAGTATGAGAAGGAAGGCGTGCGCTCGCGAGATGCCCCCAGACTTGGAGAGCCTCCCCTGAGCTTGGCCGGTTTGTTGTTTTGGGACGTGCTCGGGACTTGCTCTCCCCAAGGCCCCTAACTAAACCCTAAATGGTGAGTTTTTTCCAGGAGCTGGCAGGCCAAGCTCTTGGGCCCTGGCCCGCGCACGAGGACAAGGTCACCACGGTCCGCTTTGTTGCGGCCTGTCTGCTTAGACTTGCCTTTTGAGTGATTCGTAGGGTTGAAGGGCTTGGGACGGGTCTAAGGCAGCTAGCTGAAGGAGGAGGGCTGACAGCCCAACAGGGTTTGAGAGTGCATTATCGAATTCTTTTTAAGGCCGGCAAGTCATGAGCCAACTTTGGCAGTAGCACTGCAGTCCTCTCCACTCAGCATGTGAAGTCAACAGCGCATCCTTCCACGCTACGTCCGCTGTTCAGTTCAAGCCTGAGCCTGATTCAGGGAGAGCTTCGGCATGTCATACGAGCCTACAGTCCTACAAACTTGAGGGTGCGAACTTGAGGGCACAAAACTCCCGCGACTTGGAGCGCAAGGTGCCTGCAACAGGGCAATCTGTGTTGCGCGAAACATGCGAGACGGAGTTACGGAGACAGGCCCAGGCTACGTGGAATGGAGGGCCGCCTCGCAAGCCTATCAGCCCCCCGATCTCGGAGTGGCTGAACTTTCCCATGGCCTGGCCTCAGCTGCCGAGGGAGTGCCACATCCAGCATCCTCAGCGTAACTTCACGATCCCAAAGCGAACCTTCTCTGTTCGGAACTGAGCCAATGCAACGGGAGACTTTTTGTCAGCAATCCAAGGTGGGCCCAAGCCCCACCCTTGTGAGCGCTTGCTGGTCCACGTCCTCGGCTGGGGCCTTGAGAACCTGAGACGTGCTTTGGTGCAGGGCTGGGCCTTGAAGCAACTTAATACGAATAAGGGTGCAGTCAAGGTTCCGGCATGTGCGGTTTTGGTGGCTAGGGCAGAGGACACCTGGTGGAAGATGATTTTCCAAGTTTACGATGACATCACTGATCACAGAACCCGGCGCATTTTGCGCACAGCAGGGCATGGAAGGCCTCCAGCTGACGCAAACCATACAGGCAATGTGACAGACCTCTTTGAATCCAGCGTCTTATATTCGCTACTCTCAGGGGTGTTTCTTCCACTTAAGAAGTAGGCGCCTTCGCAATGTCACATGGGCGTGTGGGCATTCTGAGACGGATCATATTTATCTGGTACTGGGCAGACTTGCCTTCATTGAACTTGGGGTGGGCGGTTCAGTGGGCTGGCTTGCAGAGAGAGAGCAGTGAGAGCTGTTGCTGAGAGGTGCGGAGGTGGGAGCTGTCTGCGCGGCCTCGGCAGCTGTGGGCTTCTGGGGCCTGAAAAGATCATGAATGGGGAGACCTTCATGGGACTCTGGTGCGTTTGAGGAGTTCTGGGAAGCTTCTCCAAAAAACTTACCTGCAATTCGGCGGAGGTAGTTGGACACATCTGTGCTCATTGGTTGTTCGCTTTTCAGTCTGATTACAGGGTCCGTCCTGACTTGTCTGCTATCAGGCTGGGGTGCTGGGATCCTCAATAATTTCGTGCCAAGGAGATGATGACGCCGGGACTCGTGAGTGACGTGCTGTTCACATCCGCGAGCTGCGCCCGGTCTAAGCTCGATAAGCCTTACGCTTGTTCTGGTGCCGAGGGTGGTCCTTTGGAGCCAAAGGGCACGGACTGGTTGTTTCATACTGGCCGAGCGTCCGAGGCTTCCTGACGGCCGTCTCCGCCAATCCGATGCCATCGGGCAGCGTGTGCCACCAAGCCGACTTCAAGCAACGCAGCTCGGTCTATGGTGTGCATTGGTCGCACGTGTCTCTACAGTCGGTCAAAGGCTTCGACGGTGCGACCGCAGCGAATGAGTGCCAGGATGAAGCGATCAAGCAGTGATCGAGCACAGTTGTGGGTTTCATGCCCGTTTCTGTCTCTCTGTTCAACTGCTTGTCGTGTTTTTCTTGCGTGTACGGCCCTACGGCTCTCAAGCGCCTCGTAAGGCCTCGGAAGGTAGGTCGGATCTAGCCACAGAATTCTCCTGATGGCGACCTGGATGCACAAACACGCAGAATCCACGACCCCCGCGCGAACCCCCCGAGCCTGATGGTGGACTTCGGCAGAATGCTCGGGTTGACGGGTTAGGCGGTCACGCTTGCCAATGACACTGGATCACACCAAATCTTGGCAGTTGGCCAGATGCCGCAAGGAACGAAAGCGACAGCAATGAACGTGCTGCACTTCGCACGGGTCGTCGTGCATGGGATGGTGGTGCGAGCGCGATGCGGACCACTGCAATAAGCAGACGCACAAAGTGTTGAGACCTTGTGCGATCGCACCGTCTCGACCCGAATAGGTCTGCAGAGTCCAGGCTGGTTTTCGCGCACCATGAATGCGTGCACCACACGGAGGTGGTGGTGGCGGCTGCTCTTGCTTCTGCTCTTGCTGGTTTCGTTTTTGCTTTGCGTGTTCTTGCTGTGTGGCCCTTGTAAGGCCCTTGTAGCAAACCACCTCATGAAGCAAGTGCGCCAGTCCGGTACTGTAGGCATGGCCGAGTTGGATGACCAGCTCGGTGAAGGTGACCAGCTGATTGCATGGTCAACCAACCCGCAGCCAACGCCGCTGCGGAGGCGGGCCAGAGTTGCATGCTGTAGGCACTGTAGGCCCGGACCCAATGTCTATACGTGGGTTCACGAAGATCTGTGTGTTTGCCTTCTGCTTCCAGGCCGATCGAGGGGCTGGTTAGGTCAGGGGTTCATCCAGTCCTACAAAACATCCTGACAAAGATGCGAGGATGGCGTTCCACAAGCGCGGATGTCATCGGCTACAGGCATGGACGACAAGATGCGCTATTCAACCGTTTGCTTCGAGTCATCCCACAAATCTGCTGTCCTGGTCTCTTGTCATTTAGACTCGCTTGATCTTGTAGCTTCACAAAGGAATGGACCAGACAGACCTTTCAACCATACGGCTTCAAGAAGATATGTGCAATCAGAGTGGTCTCAGAGTCTCAGAGTCTCAGAGCCCGTGCACATCCCTCAAATGCTAGTGCCTGATCTGCAGGCCTGAGTTGAGCATGGCGCGCCCTCTCAATACGGTCATTCCTCTTGAATGTTTTGTCTAAACCGTCAATCTTGCCAGTCTTGCTTTTTCAGTTCTGATGCCCAAAGCCTCCGACCCAAGACATTGTGTCTCAGTGGCATACTGCCTGGAGCTGCCGATAGCTGCAGCGGCTATTCTGAGGCCTGCTCGGCTGCCGAATCTCCGGAACTTGTTGCGTCAGCTTCGGCGGATGCATTAACCGTGGCAGCTGTGGAGGCTCGCAGCGCATCGTCTTAGACTCGCGTAGGCATTCGACGAGTTGCTTGCAAGCCATGATTGAGTCAAGGGTTGATGTTCAGGCGTCGCAAAGCTTGGGAGTCTTGCATGCGCCGGTATTTTGCATGTACATCTTTCAGACCACTAGGGAAGTCACGCATTGCTTGCAACTTAGTGCCACCTTCAAAGAGATCACAGATGCTCGCGGCAAGCCAATGAATCTGTGTTGATGGATCTACTCACTTTTCCTGTGTTTCCCTCTCTCTCTCTCTCTCGCGCTCGCTCTCTGTCGCTCTAGGCCTCGTCGCGGCACCTGGTTGCAAACCCTTTGTCGTGGGTTGTCGCACGGCCTTCGTCCTTATAACGGCCTTGTGACCTTGTCACAGGGTGGGGTGGGGGGATGGTTGTCGCAGACCCGGCCCTTCTGTTGCACAGGTTTTGTCCGACAGCCACGCATGTTCTGGGCATGAGCGGAGGCATGTAAATACACATGCAAGTAAAACAGGCATGGCATGTAACGAAATTGGCACTGGGCTGTGCTGTTCGAGTCTGTCTGCATACGTCTTGCAGACTTTCATGTGAGGCGGATGGCGGCTTGAAGGCTGAAGCGGTTTGGACAACCTCGCGGCCCCATGGCGACGGCAAGCTGCGACTCCCGACTTATCTATCATGCAGCGATGTAGCAGCATCATGATTTGGCCCGGTTTGGTTTTGCACAGGTACGTTGCTACCTTTTTTCAAGCACAGCGGGTGTCAGTCGTCGGAAGCCAGGACATCTTGCCTGGCAATCCACAGATCGGCTTTGGAGCTGCGACACCTCAGGCCACGTAGCCTTCTTTGTAATGCCTTCGGAGCCCCTTCGTGTCCCAAAATGTTCGACGCCCTTCTTGGGGCTGCGGGGGTGATTTTGCCCCGTTTTTTGTTTTCGAGCCCAGACGTAACAAAGTTGTCCTCGCAGCAGCTCTGGCAAAGCTGGACGGGTATCCATTTTTTTGCCTTCGGCTCCCACAATGCCCTAGCCTACACGGCAGTTGGACATTGTGTCATATCAAGCTGGTACGAGCAAACTGGACCGGTGGCAAAATCAGTTCCTGTACCTGCCAACATTCCCAACAGCAAGATCATGTGCAATCCACAGCACGCGCAACAACGACTGCCAAGAGGCAGGTTTGCATTTCATGGCTCAGGCTTGTATGGGCTTTCACTGTCCCATGCCTTCGCCAGGTTTGCTCAAGGTTTGGGACGTCGGTTCTGGCAACTCGGCAATCACGGAGACGCGGTTGGGCTTGGAGAATGCATCTGCATTGGCCTTTCTGGGTGGCCCTGGCCTCCTCATCGCCCATGAGACAGGAGGGAGTTTGCAAAAGTGGGTCTTTTCTAAGCATGCCATTACAGTAGTCATTAGTCTACCATTAGTCTAAGCTCTACTTCGTGGCAGGCTTCGCCTTCGTCGACCCAGGCAGCGGAAAACTAACCCGCCAGCAGTACACCAAGGACGTCGTCGCTGCAGCGTGCGGTGTGTCTTCTGGACAGTCGTCTGACTTCTTTGCTGGCGTTGGCTCTAACCTGATTCGCTACGAGACGCGCCTCGCTGGTGCAGAGACCAAAGGCCATGCCGTGGGCACCTCGTAGGCATTGGGGCATGATGCGACATGTGTATGGATCCATTCGATCTTCCCGCAGGTTCGAAGTCTACGCAGTACGTGCAGCAGTCGTAGAATGATGAACTGCGGGCACGGCACAGCACGCCCAACTTGGCTCCCCGGTCCCGGTGCCCGACGAGGTAGTGTACATAGCTGCTTAGGCCATTTGTCAACATCCTGAGCATGCCCCCCGAGTTTAGCACCACAGGACACCAACCTACCAGGATCTGGGGGGTGAGTCAAGAGTATCCTTAGATATCCTTAGCACGAGGCATGTGGACCTTGCCGGCCAAAGTGACTTCTCTGGATGCCATGAGCAAAGGTCATGCCCTCAGCCCTCAGCTGACAGGCAAGCGACGAAAAGCTACTGTACCTGCTGGGGTCTGTCCGGTGGGGAGGTTGTTGTAGTCTGGAGGATGAGTGGGGTTCTCTTCAAGCTGGAATCAAGGCCGTACCCTGGTGGCCGCTGGCCTCCAAGACGGCAAGGTTGCAGTTTTCGATGCTGACTGAAAGGGCCGCAGAAGAAAGCACGCGGAGCAAAAGCGGAGCAAAAGAGAACTGGAGGGCATGGAGGGCGTCGGAGACTGAGACTTGGATTCAGACTTCGAGACCACATTGCAGGACCGTTCACACGCCAGCTTTTCAAACCCCTTCTATAAAAGAGTGCTGCTCACATGATGCATAATATACGGTCTGTTGAAATCTGCAACTTAGAAAATGCATTGTGAGGCGAGGGCATGCGAGCATAGCCGCGTCGGTAGGCTGGGGCGGGTGCTCGTCTGTCCAGCTGCCGAAGCAACGCAGCAACCCTGAACCAGGCGGACTGACTCGAGACTGACATGCCTGCGGCTTGGTGCGACAGGCAGTGGTCTCAGTAGTCACCAGTCGCATCGCGACACAGTCCGCAGCGACGATCTCATTAGTGGCCTGTGGTTGAAGCATGCATTTCGAGCTGGTCTCTAGACGGCTTGTGCTTAGTAAGTACAGCCAGAGAACCCAACCCTGCGATTCGGAGCACGGGTTGTGGTGTGGCCAACACTCGAAAGGGGACGCGGGATTCAATGACTCATGACTACTGACAAGTACATTCATGATCTGTCGGAGCCTTGCCACGCTAGCGCCCTTTCTCGCGAGGCGGTTGTAAGCAGAACTAAGGCCCAACAAAGCCTGCTGCGAGCTTCCTGGTGTTCACGACTTTTACGGTTTCTGTTCCTACGGCGAGGCTCGCCCCAATACAGTCCCTGCCGATCCCAAATCACACGAAACCACGCATCAATCGCCAACACAACACAGGCAAGAAACCAAGAAGAACAACCGTGGACAAACCCTGCGGTGGGGTGGGCCCCCTCCGATTTTCGGAGCCCCGCGCCCACACTGCACGAACAAACCCCCCCCCCCCCCAGCTGTTTCCACGCCTTGCATGGCGAATCCCGTGTTGATCGAGGTCGAGGTCCAGACGATCAAAGCCGAGGCGGCGGAGGCGCGAATCTCGAGAACACCCGGTTGCGAGAACAGCTTCTTGTGTGTGTGTGTGTGTGTGTGTGTGTGTGTGTGTGTGTGCGTTCTGGGGCGTTTTAGGTATTTTGTGTTTGTTGGGGGGCTGGGAAATTAACCCCAAAGCCATAAAACAACCGCCCTGAAAGGCTCGAATCCCACCACCACTCGAACAACCTATTTAGATGAATGTTTGGGAATCGTGTAACAAGAGAGATTGAGTACGATGCCTTCTATTGCGATATGTTGCGTGGATGTTGATCAGGGTTTTCGCCAACGAATCTGCTACAAGTAGCTCGGATGACTCTGAGCGAATCCATAGCGAGAGCTGTATGACTGTATGGCGCCAGACTTCTGCTGTGGCAAGCTCATGGTGCTTGAGGCCTTTTGCCTGGGCGAGGTCTGAGCGTTGCCACTGGGGCTGTTGGAGAACTCAGGGCATCCAGATGTTTGGGGTGTAGCTGCTGGGGTACTTGCGATGCTTCAGAGGTGTTTGGGTTCAGAGGTGTAGGTCGCTGCAGACCAGATGCAAATGTCTGCTCTGGCTTGGCATTAGATCGCGACACGCCCCTTGCCAGTTGCATGAGAACAAGGATGTTGCACACGTTGGCGAAGAGCAAATCATGTAGCGCTTTTAACAGGCAGCCTCGATCGTTTCTCGTTGTGAGGTTCTGCCTGGAGCTTCCACGGTGTAAAGGTTAAACGTGTGTAGCTCGGCTTGACCACTGGCGCAATGCAGTTCTCCTGGTACCAAGGGTTGTTCAGAAAGCCCGTAATCGACGCTTGTTGGCAGCCTGCCCCGCCCTCCCGCTAAATGTGTCACTAGAGCAGTCATAAAGCAAAATGCCCGTGTCAAGGACCCCAGAACTCCTGGGCAAAAGTATGTACTCACAGTCGGAGCACTATGCACGCTTCGCAGCAGCTTTTGTGTCGTAGAGCCCCAATGTCTGACATTTGCAGCCATTTTCGGCTTATGTAGGGCCAGGGACAGGGCATCTTGCCGCGCCCTATCGGAAGGCGAAGCGGTCCGGATTGGATGTAGAGGGAAGCTTAGCTGCCTAGCTGGACATGTGTCGAGCCCCCTTGCTGCCGAACATTGCGCTTAATGTGCTGCAGCGTGCCTTGGTGTAAAGACGTCGCAAGCAATGAGGGCAATTGCTCTGCAGGCATTTATATGGCGTCTCATCACCAAATCATCGCATATTCCAGCCGTTCCAGCCTGTGTTCCAGACCCGAGACAAAATGCAGGCCCGAAAGGCCCATGCATCAAAACAATGCACGAACTCACAATCACCTGAAAAAGATGGAATGTGAAGCGCGTGCTTGGTGCATGTTCATCTTCGGAAGCGAACTTCAAGTGGGGTTCACAGGGCCTCAGTGCTTCTTCCTGTCTTCAGCTTCTCAAATTGGTGAGCGATCTGTCAGCATCTGGTTCTTGTGTTTGTGCACCGCCTCTCGTCAGGGCTGCCGGTGCCGGTGGTCTCCCATGGTCCCATTCTCAGACAAGCTGGCCTTGCGGAAACCGATGAGGGATCCATTGAATTGCTCAACACAACACGGTTAGACTGCTGCGCCGGACTACGGCCTCTGAGACAAACGGCGTCGCCCAGCATGGAGCTGTGACAAAGCCAGTGTCAAGAATCAGTTAGGGCTGCTGTTGCAAGTGGTAGTTTCTTAAGAGCTAGTCAAGAGCTAGTCGAAACCTTAGGCTAAGGCTCCGAGACAGCTTTCCAGCGAATTAGCTCGACAGGCTCCCATGATACTTCGGCTGGGACCAGAGGTGCGTGCACTTGCCCCATAACAGTAGAATTGCCACGTCTTCATGGTCTAGAGTCTGTAGAGAGTGAGTGAGTCAGCATCGACCGAGGCATGTGTCTGGCCGAAGACGCATGCCTGGCCTAACAAATTGGCGACCTCCAGCGCGAAGGCTTAAGCGTCAGCCACAACAACACACGCAACGACAAACAGCAACAGCCAGCAACGCAACGACGCCACCACGACTCGATGACGATCGAAAAGGCCCAATTAAGCGTGAGGGCATTTTTGCTCCGAACAAAGCGACCACTAGGCAGGCCCGCCACCTGCACCCACTGAGCACCCTTCAGGGTACTAAGCCAAGCAAACACCGTCACCTCCGCTCAGGGCAGTGCGCCAGTCGAGTGCCTATAGCGGCAAAAACACGCTTCTGCACAGATCGCTCGGCAGATACTAAGTGCCCACCCCGACCCGTGCGCACCCGGAGCTACTCACATCACGGCCTCATCCACCTCCACCATTTCCAGCACAGAAGGGGCCCCCTCCACCAATGACAATATTCTGCCACGCCCTTCAAAGCTGGTCTCAGATCAGTGTGCCCTCCGAGTACAGCAACCTCCCCTGGAGGAGGGGTAGAGTCTGTAGAGATATGTTTAGGAGTCATAACATGCACGAATGGGTGGTGCGGGGTGCACAAATGGGTTTCTTCTTGGAGTTTGCTTGGTTTGAAGGCCGCACTTTGCTCACAACGCATCCTGACTCATGTGATTATTGACAATTTGAAGTCGGAGTGACAATTCGTCACTTGCCGTGGTTTCGAGGGCTTTGCATGTCATACTGCCGGGCCCAGCAGGCTAAGTACCGATACAACATTGGCGCGGATTGCTTGCCTGCAGCATTGCTATAGCTGTGTAGCTGCTATGGCATGTGCGTGTGTGTGATGCTTTTAGCCTTCGTCTTCAAGCTGTGGCAACACTCGCAGATCGACCCAGATGTTTATCCGAAAAGTCGCACGGGATGGATATTTTTTTTGTGCTTTCGTTGTAAAATAGTAGCAGCACACGACATCGAGGACATCTTAGAAGAGGCAGCCTGTCGAGCTCTCCCTCATCTCCCAAGTTCTCTTGAGGCCTGAGCTTTCTCTGCTTCACCCGAACCGCTGCGGCGCAGTTGGCGACAGCACCTACCGGGCAAAAGGTCCTTGCGACCGCCGCCATCACCGGAGCCCAGGCCGGGTTCTGGGTGTTGTTTGGGTACTTGCAAAACACGAAAGATGGGCAGAGAGAGTTTGGGAATGTTTGCCCGGTTCAACAAAAGGGTTGGAGTTTCCCAAAGTTTCGGGCCAAAAGGTTCCTGGATTGTGGGATCGACCTGGTGACATTCGTGATTTGTGCGTTTTCTTGCCGGGTGGCGGACCACACCAACTCATCTCGAAGTGGAGGCATGTGTATCCGGAATGCCACGCAAACTCTGACATATCCTGGCCCCAATTTGGACTCTTCCCTCTGAAACAGCCCGGCCGCTGGAACCGCCCATCATGCATGGAATTGACTCTTCGTCCTATCATTGTCTAGCAGCTAGCACGTAGGGAAGGTTGCCACTCCTGCCCCAATGATGTTGGGCGAACTCTGATTTCTCAACGTCCTGTATCGGGTCTAGTCGGGTTTAGTCGTTTTGATCAACCCCGAACGACGGTCGAACGCATTTGTTTTTCAATGTACCTCCGCGTTGATAATGCAAACCTTCTATAGCAAGTGCCAACAAATGCAGTCGGCAGTAGACCCTGTGACGTTGAATTGTAGTGTGGAGTTTCATCTTCTTTCACTAATCATTGCAATGCGGCCCGTGAGAACCATTGCCTGCCGCATGTGTCTACCATTTGGCTCAAGACAGGCTATAGATGGCATCCCCCCCTTCACAACCAGCACCTGCTGCAGGGATCTCCACGGCCATAGCTCTTGGTGATATCACTCAGCGAGCTTAGTGCTGCAACAAAATCTCGGAACTCCATGGACACAAAACCTAGATTCGCGCTCTGTCCGTTCGGATTCGACATGGTTGCGCCATGGACCGCTGTAAGGATTCTGATGATGGCTTCCTTTGCAGCAGGCGCCGGGTTTCAGCCCTTTCTATTGTAGGTCCCCCTCCACCGCAAACAAGTTGACTTTTTTGAAATCAAGAGGGCGCCCTTCTCAAGGTCAAGGAGCGGACCTAATCCGAGCACCTGTTTAATTCATACCCCCACATTTAAAGAATTTGTT